GTCGTATCACATATTTTATGAATGAAGTTTTATAATATACTAATTTCTGTTAATTATGTTGATTAACATCTTCAGGACGAGTAAAAAAAACAAATAAAAATGGTCACTAATGATACAACGATTAATTCTAAAAGTATACTTAAAGTATAAACTAAATTGAAGTAGCGTTAAGTCAAATATTTTGACAGCTGTCATCATTAGAACAGTATTAAGGGACAGGTGCTTTGGCACATCGTAAATTAATGGTCCGTCATTAAAGTAATATTACGGACTTGCATCTGTCACTTGGGATTACCTTCACTCCGTTGGATCACATATTTTATGAATGAAGTCTTAATTATAATATACTAATTTCGGGTAATTACGTTGATTAACATCTTCAGGAGGAGTCAAAAAAACAAATAAAAATGTTCACTAATGATACAACGATTAATTCTAAACAGTATACTTAAAGTATAAACTAAATTTAAGTAGCGTTAAGTCAAATATTTTGACAGCTGTCATATATTGTTTGTAATGACAGCTGTCAAATCATTTGAATTGACAATAATGAATAAAATATGATTTTCGTTGTATTCATGAATCTATTTAGTTATACTAGTTTTTCTTGATTAACATTTTATGAAGTGTTAAATATGATAAATAAAGGAATGTAAATGTAAGTAGAGTCAACTCAAATGTTTTGACAACTGTCATCATTAAAACACAATTAAGGGAATTTGATTTACGTTGTATCACATATTTTATGAATGAAGTCTTAATTATAATATACTAATTTCGGGTAATTATGTTGATTAACATCTTCAGGACGAGTAAAAAAAAACAAATAAAAATGTTCACTAATGATTAATTCTAAACAGTATACTTAAAGTATAAACTAAATTTAAGTAGCGTTAATTCAAATATTTTGACAGCTGTCATATATTGTTTGTAATGACAGCTGTCAAATCATTTGAGTTGACAATAATGAATAAAATATGATTTTCGATGTATTCATGAATCTATTTAGTTATAGTAGTTTTTGTTGATTAACATTTTTCGAAAGTGTTAAATATGATAAATAATGGAATGTAAATGTAAGTAATGTCAACTCAAATGTTTTGACAGCTGTCATCATTAAAACACAATTAAGGGAATTTGATTTACGTTGTATCACATATTTTATGAATGAAGTCTTAATTATAATATACTAATTTCGGGTAATTATGTTGATTAACAACTTCAGGACGAGTAAAAATGGTCACTAATGATACAACGATTAATTCTAAATAGTATACTTAAAGTATAAACTAAATTGAAGTAGCGTTAAGTCAAATATTTTGACAGCTGTCATCATTAGAACAGTATTAAGGGACAGGTGCTTTGGCACATCGTAAATTAATGGTCCGTCATTAAAGTAATATTACGGACTTGCATCTGTCACTTGGGATTACCTTCACTCATGATTCATATCTTTCTCTCCGCTAAAAAAGTCTGACTCAATCACATGATTATATTTTCGTTTTGGTATTAGCAATGTTACTACAATGAACTTCGTGACCCGAGTTTCAAAAAATTTAATTAATACCATCGAATTCCTTGAACGAAAAAAGAAAAGAAAATAAAGAGAATCTAAATTTAACACTATTCCGCAGCTCCCGTCCATTCCTTCGTTCGTTCCCTCGACTTTCTAGGACTTGGCGAAACCCAATTAAGTTTTTAATTAAAATTGAAAGTCCTGCAGTCGTATCAAAATCGCATATCTAATTTACAATTAAAACTTTATCCGTTTGAATAAGTTTATTTCTGTTTTGTATTATTTTATACTGAAATAATTGATGACTTTCTAATTTTGATATTATCTGGAATAAAATTAGATAATCATCAATTATATTGAAATCTCAATTGTAAACAAAATAAAAGTATAATAAAGTTTGTTTGTGTATTGGATGTTTGGGAATTGCAAGAACTTATCGTGAAGTTTCAAAGAAAAACATGTTTGATTTTGTTCGTATCTATTGGAATATGTAGGTTTTATTTTTTATTTTTTTCTTCAATTTTGCGCAGGTAAGATGCGATGGATAGTGGAGTTAAGAACACGAAGAAGACGACGACGACGACTACGACGATGTTAAGTGTAGCAACCGGCGGGGATTCCGTTCCCCAGCAACCGTTGGCCGCCTCAGTATTTCCAACTACGGATTCGGATCAGGCACAATTCGAAGCCGATAAAAGAGCAGTTTACAAGTGAGTTTTCACCTAGATTTTTTTAAATAAAGGATATTTTCGTTGTTGTTGACACGAACTTTGCAACTCCATGAATGCATTTTTGTATAGAAGATTGGAGGAAATCAATTTTCTCTTATCTGATGATGAATCTTCATTCATTATAAGGGAAAATACCAAGGACGTTCTATTAGTCAACTCATTATATAAGTTTTAATCAATCTTTATAAAACAAGTTTTTTAAAGGATAATCAACTTCCTCTTATGTAATGAAATCATAAGAGAAATACCAAGGATATATACAGTGAGTTAGTCTATCTATTCAAGCTTTATTTCTCAGGATAATTTAGTATGTAAAAATGATAATTTGTTATCTGTCACCTGAAATATGTCAATACCAAAGATGTTATATTAGTCAACTTACTATATAAGTTTCAATCAATCGTTATAAAAAAAGTTATGTAAAGAATAATTTTGAATTTTTTCACTACAATTTTAATTAAATTAATTTTCCTTAGATGAAAATCTACGTCCTCTGTTGTTATGATCTATGAAATCATGAGAGAAATAACAATGATATAAAAAGTTTGGTAGTCTATCAAACAGGTTGTGTAAGATTCAACCAAAAAACTTGAATTAAATTGATATTTTTCAGGATAATTATTTAGTATATAAAAGTGATAATTTGTTATCTGTCACCTGAAATATGTCAATACCAAAGATGTTATATTAGTCAACTTACTATATAAGTTTCAATCAATCGTTATAGAAAAAGTTACGTAAAGAATAATTTTGAATTTTTTCACTACAATTTTAATTAAATTAATTTTCCTTAGATGAAAATCAACGTCCTCTTTTGTTATGATCTATGAAATCATGAGAAAAATAACAAGGATATAAAAAGTATGGTAGTCTATCAAACAGGTTGTGTAAGATTCGACCAAAAAACTTGAATTAAATTGATATTTTTCAGGATAATTATTTAGTATATAAACGTGATAATTTGTTATCTGTCACCTGAAATATGTCAATACTAAAGATGTTATATTAGTCAACTTATTATATAAGTTTCAATCAATCGTTATAGAAAAAGTTACGTAAAGAATAATTTTGAATTTTTTCACTTCAATTTTAATTAAATTAATTTTCCTTAGAAGAAAATTAATGTCCTCTTTTGTTATGATCTATGAAATCATGAGAGAAATAACAAGGATATAAAAAGTATGGTAGTCTATCAAACAAGTTGTGTAAGATTTGACCACAAAACTTGAATTAAATTGATATTTTTCAGGATAATTATTTAGTATATAAAAGTGATAATTTGTTATCTGTTACATGAAGTATGTCAATACCAAGGATGTTATATGAGTCAACTTACTATATAAGTTTCAATCAATCGTTATAGAAAAAGTTATATAAAGGATAATTTTGAGTTTTTCACCACAATTTTAATTAAATTAATTTTCCTTAGATGAAAATCAACGTCCTCTTTTGTTATGATCTATGAAATCATGAGAGAAATAACAAGGATATAAAAAGTATGGTAGTCTATCAAACAAGTCGTTTAAGATTCGACCAAAATACTTGAATTAAATTGATATTTTTCAGGATAATTATTTAGTATACAAAAGTGATAATTTTTTTATGTCAGCTCAAAATTGACATAAGCAACTTTTCACACGTTATGGTTGCTAGGAAACTTGTAAAACAAAATAAGTGTTGATCTTAATTTGAAGTATGATGTTGTGTTTTTTCAGACATCCATTGTTTCCATTGCTTGCACTGCTCTTCGAGCGTTGCGAGCTGGCGACGCAATCTTCGGAGCCGCAGTCGAGCGATGCCTTCAATTTGGATATCCAGGCGTTCGTCCAGCACCAGGAGAGGGATAGGAAACCCTTCCTGTCGAACGAGCCGGAAATCGATGGACTGGTAAGTCCTCTAGGGTCCTCGGACCATCCAATTCGCATATGTTAAATCGTTGTGTTGCGTCGCGTTTCAGATGATAAAAGCAATACAAGTGCTCAGGATACATCTGCTGGAATTGGAGAAGGTGCAGGAGCTGTGCAAGGATTTCTGCAACCGGTACATCACGTGCCTGAAGGGGAAGATGCAATCCGAGAATTTGCTGCGATCCGATTATCCCCAAGGGCCCGGCCAGGTTATGGGCATGGAGAGCAATAACAATAACAGTATGATGTCGCACGCCAACTCGGAGAGCTCGGATTCGAACAGCCCCGTTCAATACGCAATCAGTCCTTCGCAGCCGCCGGTATAAACTATATAGTTTGATTTAAATATTCGTGGTGTTTAATTTGTTTGGTTTGATTAGGTGGTGCCTCCTCAGAGCAGTCAGATTGATGTTAATACCTTCAATCTGCACCAATACCAGCAGCAACAACAACAGCAGCAGCAACAGCAGACGGTCGCTGCTGCTGCTGCAGCCGCGGCGGCCGCCGTTGTTGCCCAGCAGCACGTCGCTCCCAGCGCCGCTTCCTGTGATAATTTAGTCGTCCATGGGAGCACCCCGTTAAGTCAAATCGGGGCGAACATTTGCGCGGCCAGCGAAAGCTCGGGCCCTCTGTCGCCTGCTCCGACGACACCTGGGGGCTCCGGCGACGACTGCGACAGTGACTTCCCTATGAGACGAGGCCGTAAACAGAAACGCGGAGTGTTACCGAAACATGCTACAAGCGTCATGAGATCATGGCTCTTCCAGCATCTAGTTGTAAGTTGCCCTCTGAGTTCCCTCAACCACAAACTGTTAATTCTGTTAATACCCTCAACCCTCCTGACCTGAGTCTTCACCTAATCGAGAACAGTGTTGATTGATTATAAGTATTTGCTGCAGCATCCGTATCCGACTGAAGACGAGAAGCGTCACATAGCTGCACAAACTAACCTGACCCTGCTCCAAGTGAACAACTGGTTCATAAACGCGAGGAGACGAATCCTTCAACCCATGCTGGATGCTAGCGCACCTCCGGACAACTCGAGCAGCACGGGATCCCCCAGTCACAAGAAGAAAAAAGGCCATAACAACAACAGGAGGTTCTGGCCTCAAGACTTCTCAACCATGCCGGCCCACATGGATAGCTGTAAGCTACAAAACCTTCATCCACATACAATCAAACTAACAAATCGAATGTATCATTCCAGCACTGCTATCAAGTTCGGACGATGAAGGGGACTCCTACAGCAGCGACGGCGATGAGAGCAATTTAGTGATAGACGCGCAAGCACCAACGCACGAGAACCAAAACGGTCACCAGGTGGACGCTCTTGCATTCTCCGGAAGTCCCGATTCGAAATAATTGGACTTACTTAGGGTATCTCCATCTTCGATCGATCATTCGAATTCAATTACTAAAGCTAATATAATTTTTCAGATTAGTTGGAAATCGCCAGAAGAGCTCGTCCGGAGGTTGTCGTTTTTTCTTCCTCTCTGATAAAATACCCAAAAGGGAAGAAAAAAGGACGTCCCGAAACCCGCCGCTTTCTCTGTATTATAATCCTACAAATTCAGGGAACTCCGGTCGATCGCTTCCCAACAATTATTAATTAGAAAAAAGGCTGATGAAGATTTACTTTTCTATGTTTAATGATGATGCCGATGGTGCAGATGATGTAAGGGGGAACGAACGATGGTTGTTGTTGCATCCCCCCCGGTATTGATCTCGTCGTCACAAGGGAAATACTACTATTTAAAAGATTTCGGCGCAGAAGTAAAACTCTCTTCTTATAATGGTTATTACAAAACAAACAGTTCTTATATTATATATATCGTTCGTTATTCGTTAAAATTCCTCACGAAGCAACTTGTATACGTAAACATACCTCAATTTTCATTATTTATATAATATTTAACAAAAAAAAAGAAGAAAATATTAAAGAAGAAAGAAGAAAAAAAAAACAAGAAGATAATAAATAAATATATATATTTAACCGCGAATTGGATCCAATCGGAGCCAATCCACAAAAAGAAAATATTCGTTTTTGAAAATGAAGAAGAAGAAGAATAAGAAGAATAAAACAAAAACTATATTTCCATGTATACGGAAGCGCGCTCATTTCAGTATTATCATTATTATGTAAAGAATTTTTTTATATAAAAATATATATATTATATATATTATAAATATGAACTAATTTTAGGTGTTTAGGTTTAATTAAATGATAATGTGAAGAGTTTGTTACGCTAAACGAAAAAAAAAGAAGAAGAAGAAAGAATAAATACAAGCAGAGCAAAAGAATAGGCGATAAAAATTTGAAATTCCAAAAAAAAAAGTTAATTAAAAAAAAAGAATTTTAAACGTAAAAAAATAATTAAATTAACAAAAGAAAAACGAAATTATGGTGGCGCAGTATTAGTTGATGAAGATTCAATGAAAGTGGAAATGAAGATGTATACTCACGATGAAACTTATATACGTAAATTTACAATAATAGTTTGTAAGAATTGAATTTCCATCCAAGTTTTTTAAAAAGAATTAACATTGTGTAATGAGAATATGATAAGGTGATGATGATGGTGATGATGATGATGATAATGAAGAGTAATTATTTAAACAAAACAAAAATATGTAATTGTGAGGGCTTCGGCTTGAACGTTTTTCCGTTCGGTTCGGTTTCTTAGTGCCATAAATAAGGAAGTAAATGTCTTTTTGTAAATATAAATCATATTTTTTTTTCTTTGTACGTTTTACGTTCACGTTAATGTATTATTTTTTTTTTGTTCTCTTCGAATTCGATAATAGTTGCTAATTGTTTGTTTGTTTATTTTTTTTGTTGATCCGGTGTCAAAGGGAAAATCGAGACACCGGCGTCGTTTGATCTTCGGTATCCCAAGGCCCTAAATGTGTAATAATATTTTAGTTGCTATGTCAGTCTGTGATAATTATTAAAATATGAGATGAGAGCAGTTCGATGAAGATGAAACCAACTTAACTTTAAACAAAACAAAAAAAAATATGAAAGAAGAAAATAGTCTTTTAGTTTTTTTAAACCATTATTTCCGTTTTCTACCCTTAGCCGGATTATCTGTGTGTGTTATTATTATTATATCTTTCTGTTTCTACTTCGTTTATTCTTGTTTTTTTAATCTTGTTCGTACGTGTATGTATTGTACATAAACAATGTTTATTCTTGTAACTATTTTTCTTAATTTCTTTTCGAAACTATTATATAATTTTTTTGTTTGCTGGAATGTGAAGACTTCAAAGACCGAAAGAACAAATCGTGCAATATTTACTTTTACTTATTATATTATTACTTATTAGAAAACAAATTAAGCAAAGGAAAAGAATAAATAAATAAATAAAATAATACGTGTATACGACGACGAAAAAAAAAAGAAAAACCTAAACTAAAATTATGTTATTTTGAGAAAAATCAAGAAGAAAGAAGGAAACGATCTGATGAATTCCCGAAAAAAAAATAAAATAAAAATAACAAGCTTATTGTGACTCTATGTATACGCTAAATACTCAGTCTAGTAATTAAGGATTTATCTTTAGATAGTTTAATTAATTGTAATAGATCGGACGAAAGGTTTTACCCATTTGTTTTTTTGATTCTCGATACGATACGAATACAGTTTTTTTTCCTTTTTGACATCTCCTTCATTTACCACCAAGAATATTTGTTTTCGGTTTACCATCCAAAACCTTCCGAGTTTCCACCACAAAATATATATATATTAAAAAAAAACGCCACTTCCGGCCTCTCCTTATTTCCGTTTGTTTTTGTTTTTCTTTCTCTTTTGTTTTTGTTTCTTATAGTCGCATTATTCTATCCTAGTAGCCATATGTGTCACTTTAATTGTATAAATAAAGAATCTTTAAAATTTAATCCATCTTTTTCTTTTGTAACCAATTTCATTAATATTTTTGTTAAAAATCACAATATTTTTCGAAATTAATCGAATAAATTTTCAAGGTTTTAATTTTTTCTTAGGTCATCAAACCTAATATCTATGTCAGAGTATTTAAGACAACAGCACCTGATCAAACATCGTAATCAACATGAGCAGATATACAAAGAACTATTGTTTCCAAGCTGGAGCGTGTATGCAACAGTTCTGCCAAATAACATTGTCAGCACTTGGGAGAAGAAGGATGGACATGTTTGCATGCAGCACATCTTCAGGGTCTTCATGGAAGAAGAAGTGGGAGAGGAATACTTCAGCAGAAGGATCAGCGGGGATGGAGGCATTCAGGATTGAGATTAAGACTGGTGAACTGGAAGGCCACAGTTGCTGAAACTTAACGCTGATGTAGATCACTAGCTCTGAGATTGCAGAAGGATTAGTTTACTAACTATTATTAGTGGTTATTTGTAATAATGGCTTCTCCAAACGCCTCAATCGGAGAGTATTCCTGACGATTCGACATCTATAATTTCAATTCTGATTGCTATTCTTACATAAGTGATAAGTTGTAGAAAGTCATTGGATAAATAAGAAATTTTGTATAAAAACAGAGATACAAAGAACTATTGTTTCCACGCTGGAGCGGATGGACATGTTTGCATGATCGGGGCAGCACATCTTCGGGGTTTTCAGGGATAAGGGTATTTCTCTCGGAGGAGTGGAATACTTCAGCAGAAGGATCAGCGGCGATGGAGGCATTCAGGATTGAGATTCAGACTGGTGAACTGGAAGGCCACAGTTGCTGAGACTTAACACTGATGTAGATCGCTAGCTCTGAGATTGCAGAAGGATTAGTTTACTAAGTTTACTAACTATTATTAGTGTACGATTCGACATATATAATTTCTATTTTGATTGCTATTCTTACATAAGAGATAAGTTTTAGAAAGTCATTGGATAAATAAAAAAATTTGTATAAAAACTTTTTATTTTGCTAGAAAGGCCCCAAATATCGAAGATAATTATTATAATAATATATACAAGAACTTAATAATTAAAAATAATAATAAAAATAAGGAGAACAAAGACACACATTAAAATCTAAAATAGAAACAGTATAAAAATTAGGTCTTTTCGCATCATTCCAAAAGAAATGAAAAAATAAGTAGTCTTTTGCATTAAAAAGAACAAATACAGAAGAAACATGCGAATGCGCTACGAAATCTTGTTTCTTCGTTCGGAAGGAATAAAAATAAAACATAATAATATCACAATTCATTCGATTATACTCTACAATTTTAGTCCACAAAAAAAAATAATAATATTATCGTACAAAAAAACAGTAAGAAGTTGTAAAAAATAATATGTTATATAACTTAGCATTAATCTAATGCTATTATTAATAAATGACTCATCGAGGTTAATTAGTGATTGAGCAAATTCATAAATTATGTTTCCGGACGGATTGGTTAAATGAACAAGTTCTATCACAATAACTAAAATCGTCTTGTTGTTGTTGAGCAAATGAGTTTTCGCTACTCCTGTTCTACACCACACCTAATTTGTAACTGTTAGTTTAAATTTTTGTTTAGCTTTAAACACTACCAATACTGGAGGTACATTGGAATGCCACAGTTGATGCTTCTTTTGCGCGCGAATTATACGATCCGAGAATCCGGGATGTTTTCTAGCAGACTGTAGGAATCACGTACGATGAGCATCTTGTTGTTGAAGCTGTTGCCTCTCCTGAAAGTCTTCATACCGACTTCTATAGTCTCCTTGGTGAAGACTATCGATTTGTAGGTGTTTATGAAGACGCCGATCAAGACGCAGCTTCCCAGAAAGATGAAGCCGTATGTTAAAAGCGGTGAAGCCATGTCGGAAAACGTCGTAGCTAAGTAAATCCATCGCCTGATCGGAGGTGTAACATCACTTATTCCCTGCGAAAATTGTTATTAATAAATAAAGATTTTATTTATCTAATAGTTTCACACCTCTTCGATCCACATGATGGGAAAGATGATGCTCGGGAAATTGGAAACAATGCGCACGTTCGGCGCTCTATCCACTTTCAAGTTCACCTGCAAACGAACCTTCGCTTCCAACGGAACCCCGAGTTTCTAAACAACAATCGCGAGAAAGAGAGAGAATTAATAACAATATTTTTACCATCTTTTGTTGAAAGCAAACTCACTGGTTGTATTTTGAAGTACGTGCTGTGCTTGTCTTTATCCGGAGAGAGTCCATCGATTTTCTCCAAGAGACTAACGTCGGCTTTGTAGAAGTGCGGATTGGAGACGTACAGTGGAGCATCTGCAATAATTTCATTATAAAATTGATTAAAAAAAAACTTATAAAATTACCGTAATGGCATGGTCCAATGCTTTGAAGTCCGCTCGGTGGACAGTATTGGTTTCCAGGACAAAAGCATTTGTTCTTGGTTTGGATTTCCGCTGATTCGTACACGTCTGTTGGAGGCGTGTACACATCGACCGAAATACCTAAAAGAAGACATCAGTTTCCAAAAAAATTGCGATTTTCTATAGTTTACCGTGTTTAATCTCGGAATGTCTGTATCTCAGCGGAAGAATCCTGCAAATGTCCTTATCGAAAACGTGAATTACATCTTCTTTGGTGAAGTGTCTTGGGGGGAAGAAGGATCCTTCGCTTCCTTTCAAATTGGAGCAAGGACTATCCTCCCAGAAAGGTAAACGATCTTCACCGTTCATCTTCTCCATCAAACCAAACTCCTGCATTCCCGTTTCTCCAGTGTAAATTGTTTGAATCTCCTTCAAAGTTCCATTCCTCTGTAAAACATAAGTATTTAGTTACTATTCAATATACATTTCTAACAGTTTGTCATTACAGTTATTTGAAAAAAGTTAGAATTTTTGTTACTAAAAAATCAGTTAATTATAAAAAAAAATGAAAAGAATATTAAAACTTTTTGTGAAGTATCTTGTAAAATGGATAGGGCGGATATATCCGCCGCTTATGCGCAAATGACTAAGAAAATTATAAAATGAATGAAGACTTACTCCATTCAGTAGTCCCATTTTGTTATCCTTCGGTTTTTTATGTTTCGGATAAAAGTGATGCGCCAAATTGACTATTCCATCCTCGTAACCAAACACCAGATCCTCGGCGGTCAATGTTATGAACGGTTTGTGCGTTCCCACGTTCAGAACGAATGATATCATGCGTTGCACGAAGCTGCTCAGCGAATTCGATTGAGTTGATAAAGACTGGAAATAAACAAATAAAATTCGTACAATAAATCCAAATTATTATTTTTTTTTTTAGATATTTACCAATAGAGGGATGTTTGGTACTGTTAACTTCTCGTGTTTATTGACCGACATTTCTGGAACAAATTGGAGGATTTTCTTATGCTGAAATGTCACCGTTCCGTTGTCGTGGAATTTTATGTTCACCTTTTCCATATCCTCTCTGAAATTACATAAAAAAAAATACATGAAAATGCAAATTTTGCCAATTCAACAAAATTAATGCAATTTACATAAATAATGTTTAAAATCTAGTTTTATGTAATTTTCAAAAAAAATAACAACATTATAACAATGCAATTATGAAATCAACAAAATGAATGTAATAATTAAAAGTTACGTAATTTGTATAAAATATAAAATAATGAATGAAAAAATATATAAAAAACGATTGAATCAAGTATGTTTATCTTATCGTCTAGACTCGAGTCAGAATTTTCTAAACATCTTTTTACTACGTCTCATTCAAGTTCATTCATAAATAAATCGTATTTCTGCGAAACCATACACGTTTTTTGCTACATTTCTTTATAGTAGTCAAATAGTAGTATTTTTTGTCAAATTTAATGTACATCAATGAATCCATTCATTATATACAAAATATAGGTACAGTTTGGTTGCATAACTTATAATTTTTATCTAAATATAACCAAAATTAACAGTAAAATCTTATTTTTCGAAAACAATTAAAAAAATCAAAACTATTTTTCCAATTATTAAAATCTAATAGGAAAATCTTCAATTTTTTCTTAGTAGTTTAAAGAATTAAAGAAATATATTTCAACTATATGTTTAATTGGTTTTAATTATATTGATTAAAGTTGCGGTCGATTGGAAAGAAAGAAAAATTGTGTACACAGAATTGAAAGGAACGAAATGTAAAAAGCAACAACCCATTGGCAAAAGCTCGAGTTTAAGAGTAATTAGAAAGTATTCGTAAAGTAAAATTGGCGCATGCATTGCATTACTACACACACCGCGTGTGTCGAAATGAGCAATTAAAACTGTTCGATTCAAAAAAAAAAAAAGAAAAAATTTTCATTATTACGTTAGTTCATTTCAATTGCTACAATCTCGCAATATTTCCAATTACCGATCACAATTAGAAGCACACTCGTCCCAGTTATTAATGCTTTGTATAATTTTATTACAAAATGTTGATTTAATACTTTTTATATGCGATGCATTACAAAATGTTGATCCAACCTCTGTTTTTAAGTATTCTTTTTAGAGTTAAGTATTTGACCTTATGTTCAAGTGCACTGGGTTATATATTAAGAAGTTAAAAAAATTGATCGCTGATGCAGCGTGGGTTTTCGAATCAGATCATATTTGATGGAAATTCAATTAATCGTTGATCGTTTCGACATTGACATTCCCGATGCTCGAAGTACACGTCCTCCAACAGAGATATGCTTTGGCTCCTTCGACGAGAGTCGTTCAACCTAGTTCCACCATTAATAAGCTCTCATTTACACGTTTTTGTTATTGATGAGGCGGCGGCTACGAGCGGACAAAAGCAATAAGTATGAACAGTTTATGAGTCGTAACTTCGAAATTTACGATCGTGCTGTGACAAATTATCACTGGAAAACAATTACACGTAAATGCATCTTTGACACGCTCAATTATCGCATCCAAATGCCAAACGCATGCCACTTGTAGTAAACACTTTAGACACGGCTTCAGTTATTTGCAAATTGCTTGTGACAAATTCTTGGAAAATTTCCAAAACAACCACTGTTTTAACTACAATTTTCGCATTCTTCTCATCTACAGCTATACCTCGCATAGTGCGACTTCGATCAGAGATAGTGCGGTTTGTTTTTTCTATGATTATTCCTTGATTAGTCCAGTTTACTAAATGTTTTGTTTCATTTTTCTATAAACCATTTAAGTTTTTATTTTGTAATCAGTAAATAATAGTTTTTTTTTATTTACTTCATCAATTTAGAATTTTAGTAGTGTAAATAAAAAAAATTCAAATTTTCTTCGAAATGTCCAAATAAATTAATATTTTGCAATTATCTAAATAGTTTTCTTTAAAAAAGATTAGTATTTGAAATATTCAGAATTTTTCAATTTTTTTTTAAATCCAATTACTACATTTATTATTTGTGAAAAGATAATTGAGAAGATGAAAGTATCCGAATTATGAAATATTACAGAAGAGCTGTAGTTGTTGCATCGAATTATGTACGAGTTGCAAAACTTTATTTGAGGAACGTCGCTCATTTGAACTACTTTCTTTTCGTCTCAGCGTTTACCGAATTGCGAAGGTCGCGGATTCGCCACGTCGTTACGTAAACAACGCAGAAAACTCCGTAAAACGTCGACAAGCGATCACTGACATTACGAGCGTTACACCAAACAGATCTCAACAGATTGTCAATGAATGAGGATAACCTTTTACAAATTTCTACATTGCCTTTTATAACAAACAACAAAATAATAATGAAATATCAGAGCTGTTTAGTTTTAGAAATTGAGTAATTTAAACATGATTTCAGTTATTATTATTACTTGAATGAAGTTTTCTTTATAAAATTGATTCTAATTAGTTTTTTATTAGTAATAATTACAAAAAAATATATTAATTTTTTTTTCTTATAATTGAAAAATCTTTAGTTTTTGATGATTGATCATAAAAATATATTTATTTTATAAATATTTTATTATTATTGCAAAATTTCTTGTTCTTACTTTCTAAATTATTTCAATATTCATTATCCTACAATATTTAGTATAAAGTTACGAACTCAAGTGATAATTTAATATAAAATTTCGACATGAAATTAGCAACAATTATCAACAATTTCGCAACGGTTAATCCAATCGTTAAAAAAACGTTTACAAATTATGAATATAGCAGATTATGAGTTAACCTTTAATCCTTTACCAACATTCTTTGACATCGCTTTTGCATCGGAAGCACAATTGCATCGAACGACGGACAAATTGCGTAATCACTTTCACTTTGCAGCGATAAAGGTCCGGTGCGCATTCTGCGTTATCCGTCTTCGTTTCGTGCCCTACTTGTCGTTCGTCTCTTGCGTAACAACAGTCTTGAGATTTACCAAAGAAGTCCACGCGCATTCCCGAAGCTCTTTCTTCTATGAGTCAAATTACCTTGACTTTGCACAGTGGATATTCGGATATTTAGGCCATTAACGCGAAATTCCCAAAACGACAACGATCGTTACGCAACGGTTTACTAGTTCGATGAGTTTATTGCAAAATCGCCAATTCGTGGGTTTACCTTTATTCGTCACACCTTGAAACTTAAAGGATTTTTACCAAAAAAAAATAGCCTTCAGCAAAAGAGAATTATTATCCTTGCACAGTGCGTCTTCCAATAGTGCGGCAAAACAAACTTTTACTTCAGCAAAAATAAAAGAGATATTTTCGAAAGAATTAGCAGATTCTAAAATAAACAAACAGAAATATTTTAACTAATTTTAAAGATTACTCTTACGTAACTATTAGAAAATTACTTATTGTGTATAAAGAATAATTGTAATAATTAAAATAAGAAAATTGTGATTGAAATAATAAAATTTTGACTGTAAAATAATTTTATTTCTTTTTATATTTTTATGTTTATAGAATCAAAAGCTAATAATTATTAAACTATATTCTTTAACTATATACATTTTTTTACTACAAATTTTGTTTATGAAACCGAAATTAATTACTAACAAACAAGTATTAAAATAAATCCGACAATTCATTTTAAAGGTCATCAACGTATGTTTTGTTGTTGTTATTGTTATGGCTTTGAAAGACAAACGTTATAAATAAATAATAAAAATAAACAAGTAAAATAAATTATCAATTAAAATTAAATTAGTATAAATAAGATATAAACATCATTACGCAATAATTCAAATTATCGTTGTTATTATTAGCAGTGCAGGCGTATCTAGCTTACGTAATAGCTAGTTTTGCTGAACCGGGAAATCCCGGGACAAATTTCTTGGCTATTTTCGAAAAATGTATACCCGAGAATTATCGATAATAATGTAGAAAAAGATATGTATAATGCACTTGGAAAGCGAATCAGAACTTAAATCTACATAATCAAGAAACTTATAAAGTTGAAGAAGATATTTCTTATGGTTGTTCAAAATTATTCAATTAATGAAACGAGTCTAAAATCTCGAGAATTCCCGGGAATGCCTTAAAGAGTTGTCGAGATTGAGCAACTCTAGTAATAGTTAATAGTATTGTTTTTTTGAAGGGTGGATGAGCAAATTAAATATTTAGCCCCAAAGGCAAAAATTAGATATTTCTTCCTATACGCAAAACTTCCTTGCTGCCTTATAAAGTCCCGGGACAAATTTCTTGGCTATTTTCGAAAAATGTATACCCGAGAATTATCGATAATAATGTAGAAAAAGATATGTATAATGCACTTGGAAAGCGAATCAGAACTTAAATCTACATAATCAAGAAACTTATAAAGTTGAAGAAGATATTTCTTCTGGTTGTTCAAAATTATTCAATTGATGAAACGAGTCTACAATCTCGAGAATTCCCGGGAATGTCTTAAACAGTTGTCGCAACTCTAGTAATAGTTAATAGTATTGTTTTTTTGAAGGGTGAATGAGCAAATAAAATATTTAGCCCCAAGTGCAAAAATTAAATATTTGTTCCTATACGCAAAACTTCCTTACTTCCGCCAAGACTATTACCATTTCTTTCTACGATTTACATGTTTTCACGAAGGTAAGTGAATGGGGAAATAAATCCTCGTTCCCAAAATATCAATCAAGGTGATCAAAAGACACGCTAATAAATTATAAAATAAGATAGAAGTTTGAACTAATTTACTTTCATAATTTATTATACATTTCCGTTAATTCCATTAGGAATAAATCAAAGGATGGGAACAGGCCTTGACTTAGAACTTGGACGACTCGTGTATCGTACGAACATACACAAGTCTGAATGGATAAGTAAGAATGAGTGAACGGCACTTGATTTACAATTGCTAGGCTATTAATAGAACCTTGCACTAATTCATTCGAATGCTTTCCTTTCTTAATTTTTTTCTTTCTTCCAATCACCAGAAGCTCCAATTCAAATTTATTATGCTAATTCCAATTACCTTTGATAATCGACTGAACACACGAAATCATTCATTTCTTTATTAATACATTGAAAAAAAATAAAACTACCAATTTCATTATCACGGTGAAAAATCACGTTAACCATAGCTTTTCCCAAAGTTAATAAACCATTCAAATCCATCCTCAATATTTAAATTGTTTACCACGTGAGACAATGAACTTTCCATCAAAATTCATGGTAATTGCGTTGATTTTCTGATGAACAAATATGTGAAAAATAAGGCAAATAAAAGGAAATACACAGACTGGAATTTATATGTGTTTAATTACTTTACAGTCAATAACACTTATATTTATTCAATTAATTTTATTTAAAAATATTCCTTTTAATTGTTTCATTAAAACAATGATACGTCGTAATAAAGTTTATATAGAGACTTGTTTTATGGTGTGTTATTAATGATTATTACGAATAAGGAAGTGTTTTACTCAATGCCAATATTTAATTAATTTGTACTTTAGTATTGATATTTCATAAATGTTTATTTACATCGTGAAATGATTATTTAAATTTTTTACATAAACAAATTATTTTTGCGAAATCTGTAACTTTATTTAATGATGTTATTCCATTTCCCTCATTTAAATAATAATTTATTTACAAGCAAGGCAATAATATTTTTATTATGCTTTAAAATGAATATTTTTAGCTTTTTAATAATTTAGTGTAGACAAGTAATTTTCTGTTACCTTTATGAATACTACTGTTTTTTAATGTGCATGAAAATAACGTTTCCCATTCATAGCTAATTTATCTTAATATGACTTTAACAGTAAAATAGTAGTTTTTCTATTTTACATTAAATTAATTTGGAATTACTTGTAGTAATTATATAGTAAATGGATCAATTTTTTTGTAAAATTGTTTTAGTAAATTTATTAGTAATTTCAATATTTTGGTTCAATAATATTTGAACAAAATACTAATAGAAAATTAATATATTTTATTGGATTTTTTTTCACATTTTTGTTAACTTGTAGTGTTAATTAGAATATTTTGATTGAATGTTTTTCTAATAAAGCAAGTAAAAATGTATGTAAACTAACTTTTGGTAATTTTGTATTCATTCTTAATCTTCTAACTAAATATTATAAATGTCCAAAGTTCAAGGTATACCAAAAACGTAGTTATTTAATATAGATTTAGTAACGAAATTATAAAAAAATATAATATACATTCAATGGCATATTTTTTAACAGTTGCCATATATTTAAATAACATATTTTTTACTAAAGGCTTCGTCCTTGCAAATATTTCCGTTAAGAATCAACAACAACTACAAAAAAAAAACAAGAACAGGAGCTAATGACGAAGAAACGCGGAACCGACAGAAATATTAAATGCAGTTAAGGAAAGCCGTCGGAAGAATCTAGAACAAATTGCATAACACAATTGCTGTCTTCGTACCTTTGCGCGCATTACGCAACACTGCGGTAACCTTCGAGCGATTGACCCGACCTTTGCAATCATCATACTTGCTTTATTTTCCCTCAGAGGATTGAGCGAAAAGGAACAAAGATAAAAAAAGGTTCGCATTGACGTCAATGCAGCTTTTGTTTCTCCCATTTTTCTGACCGGTTTATTCTTTGATTTTTTTGCTTTATTTTGATGGTGCACTCACCGATACACGAACGGCCCAATTTCCTGCAGCCTGGGTTTTTCCCCCTGACTCAGGAATGTCTCCGGATTGGTCATATTGAAGATGTACACCTTCGTCAGTCGGATGACACCAGGTTTCTGCCAGTACTGGAAGCTCAGCGATCCGTTCCACAGTCGCAATTGCTGCAGCAAAGTTAAAAGATTAACACTCAATAAATTTAACTTTATCGATGTTTACATACCTTCAAGATTAAGTAGTCAATCCATGGTATTGAGGAGAAAATTATGCCCATCGTTAGAGTGAAAATTCCTAAGAATATCACAGCTAACCTACCTGAAATTAAACATTTGTTAACATTATAAAAATATACAGCTCAAACTTTGTCTCAATTTATCATTAAGTTACAATAAAATTTTTGAATTAATTTACAATATGATACAAATATAAATAAGAGGAAATTTTAAAATCAATCAACTCGAACATTGAAAAATCATCTAAACAAACAATTAACAGCGTTCAATGATCACAAATCAAGAATGTCAAAGCAACAGAAAAAATATAATGTGAAACAATAACACGAGGAAACTATGTTTACGTAATTTGCAGTCGTATAAATTGTTGTGATCAAAAGACGACACTGAAATTATAAATTAGTGCACGTTAATGGGAAGTAAAAAAAATGTGATAATGTTATTTAGCAAATGGTTTGCTGAGAAATGCAATTAATTACAAACTACAGATTATTTGCAATTATTTCAGATGTCTGTTGCATAAACATATTACGCATTTTCTATTTTCTATGTAAATAGTGTAATTCATAAATTATTATTGAAAATGTTGTTTTTCGTATACAAAATTCACAGCAAAAGAAATATATAACTTTACTACAACAATTGAAGTACAAAATCATAAAACTTCAAATAGTTAAGTCAGAAGTCTTAAGTACAAAATTGAAAATTTTCATTTATCAAAATAACTTTGAAATCAATTTTAAACTTTTATTTATCTTTACAAAAGTGCAACTACTTAAATGTTAATATATTAAATTTAATGCAGTAAATTCAAACTTTTCATTACTAAAAATAACTTTTAAACTATCATCAACTTTGATTAACATTTTGACTTTATTACAAATTAAGTACAAAGTTTAAACTTTTCAATTAAAAAAGTTACATTGAACTAAATTTTTAACTTTCATAAATCTCCACAAAATTCAACTGAAATTTAAATAAGAAAATTGAAATATTTTACTACTAAATTTAACTTTTAAATAAAGTTCAACTAATTAACTATTAACATTTTAAGTTTACTGCAGTAATTTATGTAAGAAAATGAGAGTTTTAGAATCTTCAAAAAAATTTGCAAAAAAAAATTATACACTATTTATTAAAAATATTTTTTAAAGTTTTAGAATCTTCAAAAACATTTGCAAAAAATATACTTTATTATCGAAAAATTCTAATCAAATCCTTAATAAAAAATTATATAAAAATTATTTCCAAATTAAATTCTACTCTACAAAAATCAATAAAATCTACATTTTTAAATTAAGATTCAAGTATTATCGTATTGTTATTATTGATTTACTATTAAATCTATACTTTCATTGAGAATTTCCTTCTTTTCTTACTTTCTCATTATAAAAAAAACAACAAAAAACGCCAATATCAATGTACAATTAAATATTAATGCAGGCAATTGCACGAGAAGCGATAATTATCATATAATTACTTATCACGAGCAGCGGTCGATACCCTTGAATTACTTTCGCTAAGGCCAAATTCCAACTTATTCCGTAAACAAACAACATCCAAAGCTACAAAATCAAATACACAAATATTTCAATCAGTTTACATAACAAATTGTTAATTTTTTTTTTTTGACAAATTAATATTTAACTAATTATTTTCATTTTTTTTTCCCAATTTATTTGATAGTAAAGACCAATAAATTTAATTTTTGAATTAAATATTTAGTAATAACTCGCAAAGTGCGGTTTCGATCAGTCCGAAAACACTTGAAAACTTCATTTAGCGCCCATTTGAATATTTGGGGCTCACTTGATTTAAGAGGTCCCAGACTCTTGCAAAATAAACTTTGGCTGTTGATTTATATGAACTTATATTATGATATTTTGTTTTCTATGATGTTTAGTATGATTTCTATGACTTTTTAAGGAATTTCTAAGAGTTTTCTGTATGATTTCTAAGGAATTTTTATGATTTCAAAATTTCTATGAAAAAAAAAACAAGAGAGAGAGTATATTTTGAAATTAAAGCTAAAACAGTAAATGAAAATCAATCAAACTAATTCATTAAAAAACTAAAAAGAAGCAAAGGAATTGCTTTAAGCAGAGAATGTGAATGAATATATCCCTGATTTAAGTAAGTGTTTAGAAATCCTTTTCGATGTTAACAGGAAAGAGGCCAAATTACTGCGGCGAATCATAAGATTCGGAAAGCTGAATTGAGAAGAGAAAACTGCAATTTGGAGAAAGCTCTTATTTCATATATATATAAATCGTTTACAATTAATAAACTTTGTGATATGATGCATTTCTTGTACTATTTCCAATTAATATCGTAGACTTAATTGGTATCAAGATAAATTGAATAAGATTTTCCTTCATTTTCTTAAGAAAACGTAAATTAATTAGTAAATACTTGGATTTCACTTTAACACTTTAAATGTTTGAATTTTAAGAATAATTTAATATTAATATTCATTTCAATTTATAATTTTAATTACATTTACAAATCGTTATTTTCTTAGTTCAATTTATTACTAACCGATATATTTGATATTAATATTAATTTGAAATCAATAAATTTTTATGTTCACGTTATATAAATTTTATTGTAAATCAAGTTTTATAAATTACTTTTTCTTACTATTCAAAAAGTTACATTTTCTCCATTCAATTAAATTTCAACATATTTTTATTACATATACAACAAAATGCTCGCATTTACAATTTTATACACTCTAACATTATTGTACATTTCTCTATATTTTTAAGTTATTCCAATATTATTGTAATCACTAAGATTTTTAAATTATTATCATGAATTTGTTCAATTATTTTCAAAATGAAAAACTTACGTGACTTGATTTTTTTAATCCATCGTTTAACTTTATCACCCTTCTTGTTGATCTGATTCTCAAGCAAAATTTGATTTTCATACTTCAGCAAATAATCGGCCACAGTGTTGTAAGTCATGTTGTAAAAAGTTCACTACCGAAATTAGTTTCCCAACAAATGTTTTTTCCTTTGCAAATATTCTCGCCTACTACTAGTTAAAGATCACCACTATAAGAGATGTCAAGATACTCTGAATGATCTGATCAGATCGAGAGCGCAATATTGAATGAATAACATTGTGCACCTATGATATGATAAATACTAAAAAAACACGCAATTAATTTGCTTCGATCATTAAGTGGAACTTAGTAGTTTCGACAGAGAGGGAATTCACAACGGAGACGACGTCTGTATTATTATGATGTTGCTATAATTACGACGACCATACTTGACTTGATTTTAACGGATTGTTTTTTTTAATGCAGTTTCAATAACCAGATTTTTCTTTTCGTGCAAAATACAATTTCGATATTTCTTGATCAACAAAACAAACTAACTAATCTACATTTATAATGAATTTATTTTTTTATCAAATTTTAGAATTCTTGTTAGAATTGTAAATTAATTCATTAATATGCACATTTTACAATTTGTGCAAATTCTTCAATTTAAAATCAAAACATTTGTTTTATATTCTAACAAATTTACATTTTTAATTTAGTTGCAATTGAATTAACCCTTTCCGGACGTGCACATTCAGAATTAAGTAAAGTTGGGCGAATATATCCGCCGTTTGTCCAAAAAGTGGTTAAGTGAGTTTAATTTTTCATTTAGTCAATTTCTCCAATTTGAAATCAATAAATTTATTTTATATTCTAAACAATTTTAAAGTTCTTGTTAGCAAATTTTTACTTATAAAACGTTTATTATGTTATTAGTTTTGTAATTGAATTGATAAATATATATTCCGGACTGTTTGAAACCGGACTAATACATATAACAAATGAGAAATAAAAGCAATTATTTATAAAAAAAAATGTGAAATTTTTCTGAATTAAAATTTAGTTTATTTTCAAATTTTCAATCCGGACTGTGTGAGGAATTGCTTTGAAATAAACACATTTTTCTTTTTGCCTAAATTTTCCAATTTCAAATCAGAATAAAAGAAAGCAATGATTTTCTAATTATTTTACAAAAAGTCATATGTATAATTTATTGGTGAGATGAGATGTTGGAGATGTAATTGAATTAATAAATAATTTTAAAGGGAAAGCACTTGGAAAGCAATAACCGTGGGAAAAGAGCGTTGTTTTCTTCTTTAAGTTGCGGTTAAAGTGTAAACTGCGGATGAATGGATAGTAAACTAGCATTTGCATCTATTGAGGTAATTAGGCCGCAAAAGAATACACATTTTTTTTACTATTAGTCTCAAGAAATTGCGGATGAGAAGAGTATCTGATTACAGGATAATATGAACATTAGAAATTTCTACTGTACGAATATAATTTGATTAAATGTAAGAAAAACTTATAAACAGAAAGGACAAAAATATGAATTTATTTAATTAAATTGATAATAATTTAAATTTCGACGAAAAATATAAGAATAATCAAATATTGAGATGAAACACATTATTATAAAATTTGACTATTATACTATTATACAAAATTTACACACAAAAATATGTTTATTTAATATGTATGAGTTTGTTATATAATAATACTCAAATATTGATTATTATTATCATTATGAAATTAAATAAAATATTTGTTGAATTAATCAATTTACAAATAAAAAATTATATTGGATGTTACGAAAACATTAATTAATTATTGAAAAATTGATGTAAAAATTCTTACAGGTTATTTATTAATTATTGTTCGAAAACGACAATAATACATATTAATCAATTCATTAATTTAATCATTGCCAAATATTGAATGAATTGTTTGCATCCTTCTGACGTCAATTAAGAAAAACAGATTTCTTTTTATTATATTTTAATCTTTATCTTAAACCTGTCTGATTGATTCTCAATTCATATTATTCAACTGAATTAAGGCTAATTTATAAGAAATGCATTAAGATACGTATTCACTTGCACTACAATTGTAATTATATGCACGTGCATAACTAATGATCGGTGATTACGTCGCATTCTGATTAACGTAAATTTTGTTTGTTTGCAAATGTAATTAAAAAAAAATCCATCCAAGTTAATTAACGTTAGGTCATGATAATAAACTCAAATTTCATTCAAATATAGAAAATTTTGTTCAAAAATACAATTTTATAAAAAACAAAATATCAAGTTGTAATATAAAAACTAAAATCGTTTGAAATATATTCAAAAATGAATGAATTTTGTAGTCTAATTTTGCAATTTTATAACGAAATTCTTTGAGAGAAATTCTGAAATAAATACAATTTATTTGTCCAATTTAAAGACAAATTATGAGATTTTTTTTAAAGATCTTTCAAATACAGTTTGAAGAAATAAATTTGTATTTAAAAGAAAATATCATTGCACAAAAACCAAATTCAATTGAAGTTTTGTTAAACAAATTTTTCAACTCATTTTTCCTAATAATTATTTTGTTTTTGTGAAACTTTACATTGAAATAATCAAAGATGATTTAAATTTCAAGATTCAACTGAATAAAATTTTATAATATTTTTGTTTCTAATCAAATTTAATACAGTTTCAATGAAATTTTTTATGTCTAAAAATAATGAAAGTAATTGTAATAATGATACTCACTGTATTTGACTTTTTGCGAGATGAGCATTTGCATTTTCGGTTTTCCAGAGAAGAGCCGATTCCTTGCATTCTGTCCAACCACCCTTAGGGTCGACTTGTGCGTCATTTATCCTGGCACAGGTCAATCTGGAATAGAAAGAAAAAGAAAAGAAAATCATTGCATGAGCAAATTAAATTTAATTGCATTTAGAAACACAATTGACGTATTCCTTAATTGCACATTACATAATGTGCATTATAGTTAATTTTTGTTAAAAAACGATACAAGAAGTAGCAATTTTTTCCAAAAAGTATATACCAAAAAAAAAAAAAATAAGAAATAGGAATACGTTTCGTTGTTGTAAAACCTCGCATAGTCCGGATAATCAGTACCGCCAATATCCCGGACTGTTTGAATCTGCACGAAAAGAGATTTGACTGCATAAAAAGGAAAATAAATTAATGAATATATTAGAATATTGTGTATAGAAATGTTTATTTAGTCATTTTTTTTTAATTCGTTTTGAAATTTTGAAACAGGACTATAGACAATCCCGACTGCTCGAAACCGCACTATACGAGACATTAATTATTACAATTTAGATCGATTTGTGTGTCATGTATCCTGTGACAAGTTAATCTGGAAGAAAAAAATGAAAAAGAAAACATAGCATACGCAAATTGAATGCAATTAAGGAAACACGTCAATTACACTTTGAACTTAAAAATTACATTTAGGAAAATATTCATATTTTATAATTATAGTAAATTTTTGTTAAAAACGATACAAGAAGTATGAATTTTCTCCAAAAAAATATAATAAGAAATAGGAATACGTTTCGTTGTTGTAAAACCTCGCATAGTGCGGGTAATCAGTACCGCCAATATACCGAACTATTTGAAACCGAACTAATCGAGGACTTTAAATCTGCACTAAAAGAAACTTGACTGCACAAAGGAAAATAAATGCACATTTGTGAATAAAATAGAATATTTTGTGTACAAATGTTTTAGTATTGTTTTTGTCAATTATTTAATTTGTTTTGAAATTTTCAAACAGGACTTTAGTTAATCCGGACTGATCGAAGCCGCACTGCGTCATTTATTCTATCACAAGTCAATTTGGAATAGAAAGAATGAAAATAAAACATTGCATACGCAAATTGAATGCAATTAAAAAAAACACGTCAATTACACTTTGAACTTTAAAATTACATTTACGAAAATATTCATATTTTATAATTATAGTTCATTTTTGTTAAAAACGATACAAGAAGTATCAATTTTCTTGTTCTTCTAAAACCTTGCATAGTGCCAATATCCCGGACTGTTTGAAACCGGACTAATCGAGGACTTTAAGAACGTACTAAAAGAGACTGTTTACAAGGGGAAAAAAGATCAGAACAATAATTTTGTGCATATTTTTTTTAGAATTTACTAAGTCAATTTTTAGTTGAAATCCGTACTGATCGAAGTTGCATTATACGAGACATTTCTTATTACATTATGATAAAGAATTCTTATATTCATATTTTGACAAAACTCATTCATACACAATCTTTAACAAACAAAAATTGTTATGTTTTTGACCCAAATATTAAAGTGTCTACAGAAACAGCAAATGAAAAAAAAACATATTGTAACATGTTCATTAGCGAGTCGCAAATGATATTCGCATGCAAAAGTGCAACAGTGCAAGGTTTTGCGACATTTCTAATTAAACGTTTTTCATAATGTAATTTTTCAATAATTTCGCTTCTGCATTCGCGTTAATGCATTTACCCAGAATCAATCAAACACAATTATGTGCTTCATTTTGTTTTGCAATTTTGCAAAAAAATTATAACGATATTTTCTAATTAACAATATCGGATGTTTATAAGCACGAAATCAATTATAATTAATAGATTTTATACAACGCGTGCAAGTTATTAATGTGAATATTAATTTATTGTTTACATTTTTGTATTAAACTCTATAATAATCATATAACATTGAAATGAAATACTAAAAATATTTGTCGTATAAAGTAGAAAGTTCCAAACAAACATAAATAAAAGAGAGAAAAAAACGGTGAAGTTTCTTAGTATTATTACGTTTTTTAATATGACAATTTTTTTTTGATTTACTGTAACAGTTTTATTAAATTAAAATAAACGAGGAAGGCAATTAAAATGTCATTTTTATTTAATTAATTGAAAGCGTTTTTTCTTGAACAAAAAAAAAATGAGAATTTTCATCTTTCATTTCTACGTACTAAATCAACATTAAACAACAAATTAAATATTGGCCACGTTTTCAAAATATGATTAAAATTTTGACGACAGAAGAAAAATTTAATATTATTATTTGTTTTATAATGTTTGTCATTTTTTTTTTGTTTATCTAATGAATTCTAATGAAATTTTCTTTAAATTTTCCAAAATTTTCATTCATAATATCATTTTTTTAAATAAATTATAATTGTATAATAAAATTACTTAATATAAATTTATTACAGGAAAATCAACTTAAAATTATTGAAATGACAGAAAATTATTCAATGAAATGTATAAGTTACATAATTATCGAGCGAAGGGGTTAAATTTATTGAATTCGTGCTCTCCGCTTTGAACACACTTTTGTCACTTTCTCCTCAACATACGTTTAACTTTTGCACGACAAACTGCAGCAATATTTCCGCACAATAAATATCTCAATTATGTAACGAACGAAATTGTTGTCTACGAATTATATTTTCTCATTTTTTTTTAAAAACATTGTTGTTTGTAAAATTAATTCTGATTTATAAAAAACAAAATCATATAAAAAACAAACAAATATTGAAAATTACTTGCAAATTAATTATGTACGATCATCTAATTACAAGTAAAATAATTATGATGAAAATTTCTAGTGACTTGAACATAATTTACATAAAATATGTTACAAAAAAAAACATTTAAATCATATCAAATGTAATTAAGCATTAATATAATTTTTTAAATGAAAAATTATCTAAAACTATAAATTAACTACTATAAATTCAAAAAGTTATAAAAGAATTCTTTATGCAAATTACCTCAATGACAAAACATTCCTATTTTTGCAATCAATCTTTACGAAATAAGCGGCATTTCGCAAATGAAAAAAAAAAGATATTGAAATGGAGCACTTTCTTTTCCTTTTTCTTCCATTTACGTTATTGTCGTTCTTTTACTATATACCAGGAAACGATTAGAGTCGACAAGCGTTTCTGTTCTAAAGACAATCGGTCATGTGTGGTTGAGTCTCCCCGATCCAAAACAGCACTTTCTTTGTTGCCCAATGCTGCCTGTCGTCTCTTGTATCCGAGGATGCAAGATTCCTTCAAAAGCCTCAATTAGAGTATGCATTTTGTGCTTTTCTCCTTCGACTCTTCGAAATATTTCATAAATAGAGAGCAAGTCCGGTAATCATGGAAAAATAATATTCACGCACTGATAACTCTTCGGTGCGCATTTATTCGGTGTCTCAATACCAAGTTTGTTATATAAGAAACATTCTTCTCTTCGCTCTAGAATCCATAGGAAATATCTATGATTTCCTATTAAAATTGTAATAAAAATTCTGCTTTACTTCATTGGAAAATCATCAGGAGAATGAGTTTGATAAAATTAATTTAGTTTTATTTCCTCAATATTGAATCAGGTATACTCAATGAAGAATTATTTAGGAAAATTGTTAAAAAAATTACTTTCTAATTGATTATTATGAATCAACTTTATTTAATTAGGAATTGTTCAAGAAATTTGTCAAAATTATATAAAATTTCCAAGAAATTTTTTGAAAATATCCAAATTTTTCTCGAATGAATCTACTCCAATTCAAACAATTTTGGATATTTTCATAAAAACTGATTTACTTAAATGTGTTGGATAACATTAATTAATGGTAAATTATTCAAGAAAATTATTGTAATTTTATAAGGTTTCATCCCCAAACAGAAAGAATTATTTAAGAAAATTGTTAAAAATTTTGCTTTCTAATTGATTATTATGATTCAACTTTTTAATTAAGAATTGTTCAAATTATATAAAATTTCCTTTAAAATTGACACTAATAATTTCGTTTTATTTAATTAGTAATTATGAAAATATCAAAAATTTCCTCGAATCAATCTATTCCAACTCAGACAATTTTAGATATTTTCATAAAAACTGTTTTACTTAATTGAGTTTGATAACATTAATTTAATGGTAAATTATTCAAGAAAATTGTTGTAAATTTATAAGATTTCTATTAGAATTATCAATATTGATTCATGTATATTTAATGAAGAAGTATTTAGGAAAATTGTTAAAAATGTTGCTTATTATGAATCAAACATTATTTAATTAGGAATTGTGCAAGAAATAATATAAGATTTCGTTTCAAATTAACACTATTAATTCAGTATTATTTAATTAGTAATTATTCAAGAAAATTGTTGAAAACATCCAATATTTTCTTGTATGAATAATTCTAATACAGTTTTATATATTTGGAAATTATTCCAGAAAATTATTCGAAATATATATAAAAAAAATAATTTCTTTTATTCTTTTGCTAGTTTATTAATTATAAAATTATTATTTAGCCAATAAATTATTATTTTATAATTATTGAGCAAAATTGTTGAAAATTTTTATTTAATGAACAATTATCAAATCATTATTATTGAAATAATTATAGTTAATAAATTATTACTTATGAATCTATAATCAAAAACTAATAATGGGAATTTATTTAGGAAAATTGTTGTAAATTCCTTTCAAATCTGTAACAATGATTCAGCTTTACTTAATTGGGAAAATATTGTGGAAAATTGTTGTTGGGAAATCTTTCATGTCTTTAGGGAAATCGTGACGAGGCGAGGCGTTTTATAACGCCTCGGTGCGTTTTGCACGCATATTATACCATATTTTTCATTTATAATTGTCGAAAGGAAAAATACCTTAATTTTCCGGGAAAAAATATATTAAAACGACGCGGTTAATATATAAAAAACATAAAATAAAGTACGTGTTGCGTGGAACGAGTTAATTTAACTTAATGGCGTTTCGCAAATTTCAACGCGATTCTGTACAGCACGTAATTAATGTTAATTAATAAATGCTTTAATGTACATTTTTATTAGAAATTAAAAA